AAACTCACACATTCGGATACCTTCCTTAAAGAATTGACTCTTGAGCCGAACCTGAATTTGAAAATACGTTGTCAGAGATATCTTGGCGAAAGAACACCTGAATATGACGCGCCGGGTTGGACTTGTGAATTTTTCTTGAAATGTTTTGGGAAATATGGGAGGCCAAATTTTGGGGTACAACACCACCTACCAGAGATTGATGGACAGTGTGTTTGTTACACAAATCAGAAGGAACTTGGAGGTATATGTGAATGACATGGTCGTCAAGCAGTGGAAAAACAACACCATGTCAAATATTTGTCAGAAATGTTCGCCTTAATAAGAAGCTATAATATCAGGTTCAACCCAGACAAATGCACCTTCGGCGTACAGGTCAGGAAATTCCTTAGGTTCATGCTCACTAACTGGGGAATAGAAGCCAATCCCGACAAATGCCAAGCAATCACAGACATAAGGAGTATGTCTTCCAAGAAGGATGTCTAATAGTTGATAGGAAGGTTAGTTGCTTTGTCCCGTTTCTTGTATTGTGTGGGTGACAAATCAATCCACTTCTTTGCAGCCATCAAAAAATTAGCAAAATTTTAGTGGACAGCATCCTGTGAAGAGGATTTTAAAGGTGTGAAACTCTTCCTCTCTTCACCTCCTATCTTGGTGAGACCTAAGGAAAACACACCCATGGTCCTATACTTAGTGGTATCTGATAAGGCCGTGAGCTTTGTTCTCATACAAGAAGGAGATAAAGGAGAGAGACCGGTATATTTTGTTAGCAAAGTCTTGAAAGGGGTCGAGCTACGATATCATAAGATTGAGCGGTTGGCACTAGCACTAGTGATAACGGCCAAAAAATTAAGACACTATTTTCAGAGTCACCCGATAACGGTAAGGACAAATTATCTTATAAGAGAGATATTGAAGAAGCTTGACCTGGTCGGGAGGATGGTCACTTGGACTGTGGAGTTATGAGAGTATGACACAGAATTCACCCTGAGAACCAACATAAAGTCACAAGTACTGGCCAATTTCTTGGTTGAATTAAGCGCTCCCATGGGTGAAGAAAATATCTTCAAATGGGTCCTTTACATGGACGAGTCATCCAATCTCAAGGGAGGTGAAGCGGGAATCATACTCGAAGGACTGAGTAATTTCATATTAGAATATTACTCGTGCTTTAGCTTTCAGGCCAGTAAAAATCAGACTGAGTACAAAGATCTTATAGCAGGGATGAAACTGGCTAGAAAGGTCAGGTTAACCCACTTGATGGTTAAAATTGACTCACAGTTAGTGGTCGGGCAGGTAATGGGAGAATATCAGACGAAGGACTCCTCCCTAATCAAATATCTGCAAATATCCCTTGGGATATCTAAAACCTTCTTGGAGTTCGAAGTCAACCACATTCCCCGAGAAGAGAATGTTTGGGCCGATCTCTTAGCTCGACTGGAAAGTACAAAAGGCATAGGTTGAACAAAACCGTAATATAGGAGGTGCTGGAATTACACAGCACAAAGAGCGAAGAAATTATGGCGATTGAAGACGTAACAGGTTGGATGACACCAATAATCCAGTATCTGATTCAAGGAATTATGCCCAAGGAGGTTAATGAATCTCGACGTATAAAGAAGATATATGCTTGTTACCTCATAGTGGTCGATAAACTATACAAGATGGGAAGATCAATGCCTATGTTGAGACGTGTATCAGAGGGTGAAACCATGTTAGTAATGAAAGAGGTCCATGAGGGGGCATGTGGAAGTCACATTGGAGGAAGAGCTCTATCTGGGAAAATTCTCAGAGTCGGGTACTACTGGCCCACATGTTGTAAGACTGCACTGAGTTCGTAAACAAATGTGAAAAATGACAGGTATTCGCTCTGTTCATACACTCATCAGCTAAGCTGCTACACTTTATCTTCTCCCTTTGGCCATTTTATCAATGGGGGCAGACATCTTGGGTTCATCTCCCACCGCACCAGGACAACTCAAATTCCTAATTGTAGCCGTGGATTACTTCACAAAAAGAGTGGAAGTCGAGGCTGTAGCTCGTATTACGGTCGAGAAGGTACGCCATTTTTATTGGAAAAATATGATATGTAGGTTTGGCCTACTCAGGGTCATAGTATTTGACAACGGGACCCAGTTTTCAAGAACTTTCGTGGTGGAGTTTTACAAAGACCTAGGTATCCAAAACTGGCTCACATCAGTTGAACACCCCCAAGAAAATGGACAAGCTGAATCAGCAAACAAGAACATTTTTATAGGGATGAAGAAAAAGTTGTACGAAGCAAAAGGCTTGTGGTCCAAGTACCTACATGAAAGCATCTAGTCTATCATACAACACCACACTCCACCACTCAGGAAACTCATTTTCGAATGGTGTATAAGGTTTATGCTATGATACAAGTAAATATTATCACTCCTACCTGGAAACAAGCACACTTTAGTGAAGATTTCAATAGAAACGATTTGAACAGCTCCGGCGGCCTAGTAGCCGAAGTCATAGAAATGAACCAGATTAGAGAGTTCGTAGCCAAACACAGACTGACTAAGAGGTTCAACCTAAAGATCAGACAAAGAGGATTCCACATAGGAGATCTAATTCTAAAAAGAATCATTGATCCTAAAAATAAAGGAAAGTTAGATCCTAATTGAGAAGGCTCATTCTGGGTTCTTCAGAAGTTGAATAATGGTGCCTATAAATTGGAGATGTTGGATGGCATAGAGGTACCTAGGACATGGAATGTATCCAATCTTAGGTTTTGTTTCAGTTAAAATTATGTAAGGCAATCACGAATAAAATGTACGGGATGCACTCTTTTCCCTTGCAAGGGCAAGGGTTTTTAATGAGGCACCTAGGGTAAAAAAAAAAAGCATTTGTAATGTCTCTCAAAAAAGAGGTGTTCAACTTAGGTTGGAGAATCACAACTCGGTCTAACTAAAGTCCGCGCGAACTTAAAGCCTCTGGCACAAACCGGCTTCGGCCAGGTGACGATAATCAAATCTATGGATCGGGTTGACACTCCTCATTTAAGAGTCATAGTAATTTATTTGACACTCCTCATTTAAGAGTCGAGTACTTTATTTGATACTCCTCATTTAAGAGTCGAGTACTATATTGACACTCCTCATTTAAAAGTCGAGTACTTTATTTGACACTCCTCATATGAGAGTCGTAGTACTTTATTTGACCCTCCTCATATAAGACTCGAGTACTATAATTAACACTCCTCATTTAAGAATCGAGTACTTTATTTAACACTCCTCGTTTAAGAGTCGTAGTACTTTATTTGACACTCCTCATTTAAGAGTCGAGTACTTTATTTGACACTCCTCATTTAAGAGTCGATTACTTTATTTTACACTCCTCATTTAAGAGTCGTAGTACTTTATTTGACACTCCTCATTTAAGAGTCGACTATTTTATTTGACACTCCTCATATAAGAGTCGTAGTAATTTATTTGACACTTCTCATATAAGATTTGAGTACTATAAATGACACTCCTCATTTAAGATTCGAGTACTATAATTGGCACTCCTCATATAAGAGTCGTAGTACTTTATTTGACACTCCTCATATAAGATTTGAGTACTATAAATGACACTCCTCATTAAGATTTGAGTACTATAATTGGCACTCCTCATATAAGAGTCGTAGTATTTTATTTGTCACTCCTCATATAAGAGCCGAGTGCTATAAATGACACTCTTCATTTAAGAGTTGGGTATATAATTGACACTCCTTATATAAGAGTCAAGTACTTTATTTGACACTCAGTCGAGTACTTGACTCGATCCGAGTTGACACTCCTTTTTACCAAACTGAAGTCCAAGCGCACTTGAAGCCTCTGACATTATTATTCGATCAACCTCGCCTTCGCGACAAAGGGGCTCTTAACCAAACGGATAATCCCCACTGTGGTAAATCCCAAACATAATAAATATTATGACAAACTCACCTGAGACTCATTACCTCAGAGTTATGGATAAGCGTACGACCACTCAACCTCAAAATAGGTTTGGGAGCTCTTAAAACCAAAAAGGCTACCAAAAACCGTAATCCATCCGAATAAGATGTAAGACCAGGTACCAACAGGTGTATTAGTCACAAATCTTCAAATGCTTGTGGCAATAATAAATAAGAAAAAAACCGAGAATCAAAAGACGTTTTTCACTCCAGGCACGCCTAGGGCTCAAAATGAACAAAATTTCTTGATTATGTCGCAACCCGGACAAAAATGTCACCTTAGTGTACCCGGAAAGCCTATTGATTTATTTAAGCACTCAAAGTTAAAACCGAGTTTACAAGCTGCATAGGGCTGTAAACAAAAATATTTGGAAAAAACCCAAAGATATTGAACTTGTCGGGGCTCCATATCTAACAAGCTTAAAATAATATATGGCATTCTGTGATCGAACACTTAAGCCCTACGGACTTCGTGCCCGAGGGGCTTGGGTACATACACGGGATTATTTTAAATCATTATTTTAAAGTTGTGATGTTAAAAACAAAAGATCAAAACAAAACAAAACAGACGATACCATCATAAAGCCATAAAAAGGCAAAGAGTTGTTCATTACAAAACCCTGAAGGGTAGAAAGTCACGGGCATAACAAAAAAATGGGGGACAAAACCAAACTTCCTTACAAAATATTACATAAAATGTATCCTAGCAGATGACTAACCACAACGAAACAAGAAGAATAAATCATTCGACCGGGTCACCATTTCCGTCGCCATTGTTGTTGTTTTCACCAACAGGATCTTCAAGATTAGACTTGGGGGAAGGGTTATTTTCCACCTCCTCAAGGTCTACAAGGTGGCCATCCTGCACCACCTTAAAGAAATTCACCTCCGACAAATCTAAGTCGGGATGAACGTACAACACCTAATCCTTGCCCTTGTCAAAAGCCTCATCACCGGAAGAAAGAAGATCAACCTGTGAATTCTTGATGGTCTCCTTGAGGTCGTCATTTGAAGCTTTTTATAACTTCAACTTTTCGATAAGCTAGGAAGGGGAAGCCTTGCCCTCAGATTCCAGAGTCTCCCTCCGATTCTTCTCCTCGACCAAGTTCTTTTCCAAATCGGGTAGCTTTTCGGACTGAGTCTTCTGAGCATCTTTTAACTGAGTAATCTCGTCTTTGAGCTTCGAATCAGCTTTCTCATAGTCATCTCTAAATTCAAACAAACCACAAGCCAGAATTATGCACCTCATAGGGTAAGAGTTGGGGTTTTGAGTCATCTTTTTTCGGCCTATAGTCTTAACCTTATTGACGTCCTTCGTTGTGTTGAGATAATCATAGAAGAATCGGGGTCCATTGAAACTATTGCACCAGAATTTAAACTCCACAGATGTATGACCTTCTCTGGTCTCTTTCATCAGTGAAGTAATCTCCAAGTCTGTCCGACAGATATCATCGCTCATAAGGTTCTTGAGCTTCTTCGAAGAACCCTGATGAACCTCCTCTTGAACAAACTGAGCAGAAGTCTGAGGCTCATCCATACTCGAGGTGGCTTTAGAGTCTGTCACCTTTCTCCTTTTCAGTGTCTGGGTTTCTATCTCGGCAAGGTCAGATTTTATTGTCAAATGCCTACCAGCTCCTTTTCGAGCAACTCGAGCCTCCAACATCAATTTCTTTTGCTCGATAACAGATAGATCTGTCATTTTTTCTACAAAATGTAAACACAAAAAGAGACAGTATGAGTACCTTCAAAAATCAAACACGGCTATTAAGTAGAAGGAAAAATAATTACAAAGAAAATTTGATATTTGTTTGACAGTTAAAGGCAACAAATCTCTGGCCCTCATCATTCAAAAGGAGTCAAGTACGCTTAGAGCTTGGATCTCCAAGTCGCTTAGGTTGTCATAGATAAAAACGGAGATCAACAGGGGATCCCTGGTTCAGTAGTGAGGAAAACGCGGATGCCCATCTAAAACATATAATACCTGGGGGCACCTCGATCCACACTTGACCCGAAGAAAACGGTCCTTAAAGCCCATATAATTCGTGGTGTATGCTTGAAGGAAGTTTTTGTAAGGAATGCCACTAATCTGAATCCAGACACACTTCTTAACTCCTTTCACCTCAAAGAAAGAAAAGAATAGACATACGGTAGGAATAATGATCATCGTCTCACAAACTATCTCAAAAGCTTTTATAAATCCAGAGTTGTTGGGGCAAAGTTGAGAAGGTGCGATATTCACGGTCTTCAGTATATCTACCTCAAAATTTGAGAAAGGCATACGGATCTTGAAATCCTCCAGAAAGCCATATGTCTTTAGAACCTTTTGGGTGTAATATGCATACTCGTTCTCCAGGGGCACAAGACTCCAGGATGACATCATCCTCATTCACGGTTGAAGAAACATCTATCAAAGACCGGATTTCGGCGATCTATTCATCATCAATAGAGCTGCTTTTATAGACCATGACTTTGAGCTCAAATGGGGCAGCTGTTTCCATCATGATTTCTACAGAACTTGAGGAGAAATAATTAGACTCAGAATCACTTAAAGAGGTGAGGATGTCATCATAAACTTCTCTTGTAATTCGATCAAATTCATCCTGACCTAAGGCACCCTTAACCTCGCACATGCATTGGCCCTGCAACTCTTTTCTCTCTTCAACATTTTTAGGTTTTACAACGTTTCCCTCGTCATCACACTCTCTTATGGTTACTATTCTCTAAAATAAAAAGAGGAAAAAGTAAAATGAAGTGGAAAAGAGAAGGAGATACCTGAAAGTCATGAGCGCCTTGATCAAATGCAAGCTTCTCTAGGGAGAGACGTTATTGGTGTTGAGATGAAAAAGGAAAGAGGGAAATAAGATTTAAATAGGGGGTCGAATGAACAGGTGTCGCTTGAAAGGAATAGTCGCTAAACAAACAAATCCCAATAAAAATCATCATTGTGTTATGAGAGAAGAGTTACCCAAGGGAACGTGACTCTTCATTTGTTAGCACGTGAAATAGGATGGAGTCGGGTTATAACCCAGTCTAAACCTTAATACATCTTGTGCTCTCCTTGACCTAACACTTCATTCTTATAACAGAATTCGTACTCGAGGGGCTTATGTACATCCCGCAAATAATAATTCTAACTGGATCATAAAGTCGTAAAAAAAAAGAGGTAAGATGGATATATCACCTACGTGGACAAAGGGTAATAGGACTGAATACTAACTCGACTAGGATCAAAGGCCGGTACATTATACTTGAGTAATAGCCCATCTAGGATACCAGACCGGAGAGTGTCCATGATCGGGGCACATCAACCTGTAACCAGTTACAAGTCTGGCCCAAACACGATTGTAACGGTTGTCAAATCATTAATATAGTCGTTATGCTATCTTGAATGCTCCCATTCATGGCTAACGGCGACCGTTATACAATTCAGAAACTAAGAGCCATCTCTTAAATGAGGCTCTTAAAAGAGCAGTAGAAGGACTATATAAAGGAACTTCTGTCAAAGGGATAAACAAGATATTCATCTTGAGTCAATACACATCATTGTCATAACACCCAAATCCCCACATTTATACAGAGATCTACCCTTATTGCGGCTCTCCTTGTCCTTACATGGATTACACTCGTTTAGTGTTTTTACGCAAGAACAAGACGTTTTACACCACCTTACTCATTCTATCCTATGACGAGTAATGATCAACAAGCATTTTTCCACTCGCAATTCACAAATCAAGTCCTTCCTCGAGAAACTCATTATTAAATTTAAGAACTGCAAGAACCTGCAGGGGAGTTAAAGTATGCAAACCCAAGTCTCGCATGTATTTGCAGAGACACTCATACAGTTATTTTGAAGTCATGAAGAGAGGCGTGAACCTGTTCTTGGAGAGAGCTCGAGAGTGCTATGCAATTACAAGTACATTTACAATTAATTGGCATCTACAATTACAATTGCACAATGGGCGCAGGTGAGAAGATCCTAAGGAAAATGCACAAAATTGGAATTACAAGGGTCCAACTCTTTTTTTTATTTTTCTTTAATTTACAACTATTTCAAGTATTGTAGTAAGTCTGGGTTTTCTATATCTTCTAAGAAGCAAAGAAGAACATACAACACTCACAGACGAGAGCGCCATGCATGCACCAGCAACCCATGGTGGAAGCTTGATTCCCAGTGAAGGAAATAAAACACCCGCAGCAACTGGTACGGCTATAATATTGTAGGCCATCGCGAATACATAATTCAATCGAATACGAGAAAAGGTCTTTTTAGAAAGATCAATTGCTGTGATCACGTCTTCCAAATTATCTCTCATCAAAACATAGTTAGCAGCTTCTATGGCAATATCTGTCCCAGCCCCAATTGCCATGCCAACATCTGCAGCAGCTAATGCAGGAGAGTCATTTATACCATCGCCCACCATTGCAACTATACTTCCATCTTTTTGGAATGAACGAACAACATCAGCCTTTCCTGCAGGCATAACCTCTGCTCTAACATCTTGAATGCCAACCTGTCATAAACAGATTTTATTTAGTCAAGTTTGGTTATAACATCAATTTCTGCCTAAAGTTCATGTTATAACTGTCATGAAGTAGCAGATATTCATTATGGTTTATAATAAAGAAGATTCAAATATTTGTCCTAATAAATTTAAAAGCATAGCTTTTCTTTCAAAATATCATTGTTGCATTTATGCACAAGAAAAGCAACAGCCAGCTTGAAAACGAGATCAATTATGGTTTAAATCATACTTTTCTTTCATTCATAGTTTGCAACTATTCTTATCCACGGTTCAATTAAGCTTTTCATATTACACATTATAACACTACCATGTTCCATGCAAAAGATGTTGGTTTTCTTGGTACTGGTAAAAAATTTCATAGGTTAAATGCATATACTAGAAAACATATCCTTGGAACCGCACTCAAAGTTATCACAATACCAAGCTTTTCAACCAAAAAGAAAACTTTATAGAAATATATACAAACCTCCTTGGCAACAGCTCGGGCTGTTCTCCAGTTATCTCCTGTAACCATTACAGGCGTGATTCCCATTTTCTTGAGGCCCTCTATAACAACAGAAGCTTCTCGTTTAAGTGAGTCTGCAACCCCCAAAACTCCAATCAATATACCGTCACATGATACCAGGATCCCTGTCTTGGCACTTTCTTCAAGCTCAACAACAAAATTTTCCGCTTCGGTAGAGATGTTTATACCACTTTCCACCAGCAGCTTCCTGTTACCAACCTGATCAGAATATACTGCCTCAAATAAGCAACTATTTGGACAAATATAGAACACATTTATCTATTCTAAGAAAAATCTTCTCCTAATGAGACATGTGTCCCTCTCTCCACAAAACACATTCCAGCACTTGTGTTCACAAGAACCGTGTTTTGCACGGGTCACTGCAAGTTCCATTCATTTAAGATAATGACATTCGTACAAGAATGGTAAAGAAAACATTACCAAAACACGCTGTCCATCTATAATGCACTGCACACCCTTTCCTGGAATAGCAGAGAAATCTGAGGCATCATAAAGCCACCCTGATTTTAATTCATTGGCATCATTTCGAGGACCATTAGTAAGAGAGGACTCATCAAAGAAGTGAAAATGGCGTGCATATTGTAATATTGCTTTTGCCAGCGGGTGTTCACTGCTAGCCTGAATTAAAATAAATTAAATAAGTTTAAAAAATAATTGACAAAAATCCAACTGATTCCTCTAATATGCATCATAAGAATAGGAAGGTTGAAAAGGAAAAAATAATTAATCTTCATCCTATTTCAGAATGCCAAAAGGTTCAAACTATGTGTATATGTGACAATACCAAAGACAGACAATGAGAGTCACCTCAGCAGAAGCCACCAATTTAAGAAATTCTCCTCGATCCATTCCTGCAAACACCTTGGCAACAGAGACATTGGCTTTCCCCTGAGTTAGAGTTCCTGTTTTATCAAATATAACATATTTCACCATCTGAGCTCTTTCTAAGGAATCTCCTCCTTTGATTAACACACCATTGTTAGCCCCAACTCCTGTGGCCACCATGACAGCAGTTGGTGTTGCCAAACCAAGTGCACATGGGCATGCAATCACCACAACAGATATAGAAAACATAAGGGCAAAAACAAAGTGATTTCCATTTTTTGGCAGCCATTCATCTGGGTAAGCTCCAAGAGCCCCGGCAGTATACCTAAAGTTATACAAAATATGTACACAAAAGTAGGGATAAGCAATTCAATCATGCAGTAGAAATCAAATTTGATCAATATGCGAAACTAGTCAAGGTAACCTTACCAACACAATAGTGTCAATATTGATAGAGCTACAATTGTAGGAACAAATATGCTTGCTACCTGCAAATAAAATGAATGGTGCTTAAGTTCATTAATATATATTCAGTCATTTGTGCCAATCAAATAGCAAAATTAATAAGTTTAAATACCGACTACTATTAGAATATCATGTGAAAGCAAATAAACACAAGTTTGAATTTTGACTGAAGCCTAAACCTGAAATAATTGGAATCAATATAACAATCCAAGTTTATGAATAATTTTATACAAGAAGCTCCAGTGACCAAATGGGTATGGCGTCAAAATATAATTCAGACTCTACGGGATTACTCAGATTTTCATTTTCCAGAGCAGCGGCTCAGGAAAACTAAATGCTGACTCATTGCTACGCACTTGTGTCTTTTAGTTACAAGAACTTTACAATCATTTAAAACATGATATTATGTGTTTCATTTTCCAGACCACTTAAAAAAATAACACATTTCACCTAGTTTCAAAACTGATTCATGAGCTAAAACTTTCTTTGCCACAAAGAATGAAATCCAATCCATGTAAAAAGGCATCCATGATACGACAACAATAACAAGAAAAATAAGTGGGGGGACACTGTCACATTGACAGTCTATGTCATTAGTGTTCAACAGTTTAATATTGGATACAGACTTGATCACAGCACTCCTCTTTCTCCAAGCATTGGATTGGATATGTGATGTGACGCAGGCAGTGCATAAAAATGCTTACACTATCATTGAACACTTACAGAACATAAAAACTATCCAAGAGTGCAGCCAGAATACTTACATAATCAGCAAACTTTTGAATGGGAGCTTTGGACATCTGGGCTGTCTCCACCAAATTAATTATCTGACTCAAAACTGTATCGGATCCTACTTTGGTAGCTTGAATGTGAAGGACACCATGAAAATTGATTGTACCTCCAATAACAGATGCATTGATTTCCTTCAAAACAGGTAGAGATTCACCAGTCACCATACTCTCATTCACATAACTTGAGCCCCAGGAAACAATACCATCAGCAGGAATCTTTGTACCAGGGAGAACTTTTAATGTGTCACTAGGCTGGATGAGCAAGGAATCTATTTCTCTTTCTTCAATAGATCTACCATCTAGAAAAGAAAACAATTATTGACGAGTTATAATTTGATGTTATGATGAAATCTAGATGATAAATGAAATAATCATCACTAATTTCAACCTAAATATAAGATAATCATTTCATTAGCAGTTTCACCTCCATTTTCTTAAGAAAACAAAGCACATAAAATCAAAGTGTCATGCACCTTTGTCTTTAACAACCAATAAAGCTGTTGGAGGAGTGAGTTCTACTAACTTCTTAATGGCATCAGATGTCTTTCCCTTGGCAAGACATTCCAAATACTTGCCCAACAATACAAATGTTATAAGCATAGCACTTGTTTCAAAGTATGTTGTAGACCAAAATCCAGTAAGAGCACCGTACAGAAGAGCACAAACAGAATAAACATATGATGCTGTAGTTCCCAAAGCAACCAGGACATCCATGTTTGTTGAACCATTTCTAAGAGCTCTGATAGCTGCTATGTAGAAGCGCTTTCCAATCACAAATTGGATGACACTCACCAATGCCCACTTCAACCAATCATCCATGAGGAAGGGCCCACATCTCCAAAGTAATAAGGAGTATATGAATGGGATATGAGGACAAATTACCCCCATGAAGAAAAGAGGAATCTGAAAGAAATGCATCACGCAAAAATCAATGCAAAAGCATGAAAAGAATAAACAAGAAACGAAACAAAAATAAGTGGCAACAATATTACACAGGCACTCCAATTCTAAATATGATCTGTTTCTGTACCAATATCAAGAGTCTTGTTTTGATTCTGTTACATGCTTCTATGAAGAAAAGGATGCCACTTCCTTTGGATGAAATTTCTGTATAGACTAATACAACCTTTATGCGGCATACATTAATGGGGATCTGATACCATCAGAATCTGAAAGGATGGTTCATTCTACACTAACACCCTAACGTTTGAACTTGAGCATACAGCAGATACTAACTACATAATTTCTTACCCTCACAAACTATCTCTATATCTACACATGCCATTTAAGAGATCCTCCAACTAAGAAGCCAAATAATGCGATCAAACAAATAAAGAAACAAAATGAAACCAAACAAAATAAAGAGATACTTACACTAAGAAGCAAGCTGGAAATAAAAAGTCGGAACATAGTTGAACTCTCTGAGACATCTTTAGAAGCCATTCTCGCATAAGGGCTTCTAACATGCAACTTAAATTTTCCATTACTAAATACACGGATCCCATCCACCACTGATCTAGAATTGAGAACTTGAGGATCAAAAACAACATTAAGTTCACTCAACAAAGGATCAAACCGAAACTGCCTCACCCCTTTCATACCACTAAGCATGCTTTCCAAAACCCGAGCATCCACCAAAGAACACGCTCCAACAACCCCTAAAACAATCTCATCTTGACTATAACTCTGCACAAACGCAGCTTCAAAACCAGCATCTTCAATTGCACTAACAATATCTTCTTTGCTAATCACATTCGGATCAAACTCAACTTCACCCAATGAAGTAGCTAAAGCCACCACCGCTTTTTTGACTCCGGTGATGTTCTTCAAAATTCCCTCAACGGAATTCACACAGGCCGCACACGTCATACCACCAATGGTGAACTGTCCCACCACCGTATTGTCCCCAACCGGTTTCGTCCCGGTCGGACCGGGTTCATGTAAGATCTCAGCTTCAAAACCTGCATCTTCAATCGCATTCTTAATGTCTTCATCCTAGGGTTCACAAACATTCAGCACTTTCTAAAATCAGTTGCTAAACACTTTCAATGAAAGAATCACGAACAAACTGAAAACAAAATTACAAAAAAAAGAAAGAAAAAAAGAAAAAGGAGATAAACCTTGGCGAGGTTTCTGTTAAAAACGACGTCGGCTTTATTCTGAAGCAAAGCAACGGAAGCCTCAACTACTCCGTCGACGGACTTGAGAGCCGCCTCAACGGAGTTAGAACAAGCGGCGCAGGTCATGCCGGTGATTCTAACCTGAATCCGCCGTGTTTCGTCGTGGACATCGTGTTTATCGTAGGAGTCTAGGAGGCGAACATCTTCGAGGTCACCGGAGTCGGATTCTTCACCGGCGCCGGCGGAAGTTAGTTGAATACTCGGCGCCATTATTAGAGAGAGAGAGAGAGAGAGAGAATAATATGGAATGTTGCGAGGTGAATAAGAGAAAAGAAAAACGAAAGATATATATAAAGAGGGAAAAAGATAAATGAAAAAAAAGAAACGTGAGAAAACGGAAGAAGAAGAATGTGAAAAAAAGAAAACAATTTCCGATGGAGATGGTGAGAAAAATATTTTTTAATTTTTAATTTTTTTTATTGTATTTGGTGGAGACAGCAATTTTTTAACCAAAGTGGAAGGTGCAATAGATTGGATCATTGAGGTTGGAGGGAGATTTATTGTAACGTATTTCCGGTTATGCCCTTATAATAGTGATGGAAATGACTAATTGGTTCGTTGTACTTCATATGTAGTGAAATTGTACTGCATGGCATGGAGGTCGTGTTTGGTTAGCTAGCGGACGCGTTTTTCGTTTTTCTGGAAGACGTTTTCGTTTAGTGGCGTTGTCTGTCTGACTTGTTCGGGATGAAATGCGTGACGAATTACGTCTTTTCTTTTGAAAGGTTTCGACTGGTCATGGATGGTCAATTTTATTATTTCGGTGTAATTTTTACTTTGAATTTTATTATTCATTTAAATTTATTTATTTATTTAAGGTTTAATTTTTTTATCTAATTAAAACTTATTTCAGTGTAATTTATTTTTTATTTTGGATTTTATTATTCATTTAAACTTATTTATTTATTTAAGTTTTAATTTTTTATCTAATTAAAAATTCAAATATGTAGTGTCTTATTTGGCAAAGTCTCATATTAAAGCGTATGTTGTCTGATAGTCGAGTCGCCTAAGCAGAGTCGCTTAAGCGGAATTCAATGGGATCGTCCTTGTAGTCCGTTCAAATATACACATCAAACAAATAAAGTCTTCATTGATTCTAGAGATATGGTCGATTAAACAGTCTCTCTAAAAATGGGAGTATATGAGACCACATCCGGAAACCGTAAATCCTAACTTTGGAAAACTCCTATAAAGGGACAGTTCACCAAAGGGATAGAGGATCCTCGTTCATTTAATTAACAATCACTTATTATCATCTGATCTAACCTGATCAGACTTGGACTGTCACGGCTGGCTCCGAGCTGAAGTTTTGAACGAGGTGGGAGGGTACCTGCAAGACACTCCGATGCTGAAGTGAGTAAGAGCACGAGCAGGCAATAATAAGAGTATGGGTAGAATGATGAATACCTGACCCTCTGGAAACAGAGGGTATTTATAGCCCTCAGCGCTGGGCCAAGGTCCCTTCATTGGGCCGGACAGGTTTGACCCAATGGAGGAACTGCCAGGTTCTACGTGCGTAGTGGGGACCCGCACGTGGTCCCCTCCCTAGATGTTCTGCGTGAAGTGCGGGCGGATAGAGACGCGGTCTTTTCGGAGTCCCGTGAGAGTGCAGTGGACTGAGTCTGCCCTAGGAGGGGTGCTCGAGGTGAGGTCGAGCTGGACAGTAGGAGGTCGAGCAAGTAGCCCCAGGGAACACGTCGGGCACGATTGTGATCCTTTGGTCGGCGTGGCCTCCAGCAAGTCCGTTTGGATTGGGCCTTATCAATGCTATTGGGCCAGTCGGGCCTAGTCCAGAACAGGAGCCCCCCAAGTCGTGGTTCCTTGGGTTAGGAGCCATGGCTTGATCTTAGGTTGCTTCCGTTTCGGGGCCTCGTGCCCGGGTCAGAGACGCAGCTCCTCGAGAGCTTCCCCGTATCGTGCTCGGGGACAAGTCCTTCGTGGGGAATGCTCGGGGATTCCTCAACGGCGCGCGTCTGTCGAGCACGCGAGGTATCTTTTGGGAACTGTGCAGCCACCCTATGAGGATAGGGTCCTTATTACCTAGGGGAGCCGTGCGTCGAGGAGAGAAACTCTGTGGTAGCCCGAGGTGACGTTTGGTATTCCACGTCATCACTATAAATAGGATCCTTGGGCCCCATAACGCGTCACTACTCTTCGCGCTTCTGCTGCTGTTGTTTTTCCAGATTCTCATAGCATCGCCGCGATCTCCGCCACCGATTCCTTTCCTCCGTTGCCGAATCTACTCCTTGATTCCAAGTAAGTGACTTATCTTCTTTGTTTTTCTGTTTTGATGCATGAGTTTCATCGTTTTTAGACGTTTTTAGAGGCTGTGCGCGTGGGACTAGCCCGGTAAATTCATGTTTAGCTCGACAAGTTCATGCTTAGGGTCGGCAAACACATGCTTGTGGCCGATAGATGCATGGTTTAGGTTATAATCTGCAGTGTTGCCCGGGGTCTTCATGATCCAGGGCGCCTACTTCATGATCGTGCCCGGTATGCTCATGGCTCTGGCTTTAGGCTTTATGATGTTGCTCGCCATGTTCATACCCCGGGTCGGCGTATTCATGAGTGACCGCGTTGTCGATTTGTTTAGGCGGCTTGCAGAAGGGCCCGTCGAGGTATCTAGAAGTCGGGGAGGCGACTGCTATTTTTGTTTCAAACCAACTGTGGTCGTGCGTGGAGCGACGTGGTTTGTCGCGCACTCCATCTTGTATGTTACGACGAGCGTATGGTTTCGTGCCCAATTGACTGGTTTCCTGTGCTCTGTAGGTAACCATGGCGGACGAGCCGTGCTCTTCTGGACGCCCCGAAAGGGAGGAACAAAGTGCCGATGAGGCTGTGAGTTTGATCGACACCGTAGAAGACCCTCTGTTGGACTGGGTGGGCGCCGAGCCTAGAGGGATCGCTTTGGTCTATAGTCGGCATAGCCGAAAGCCATACGCTGTCCTTGAGGCGAGCCACGGCCAACCTGACTTTCAAAAGAATTTTGTCGTTACGCGACCGACCTCCACTGCTCGGATTTGCTCGGTGTACCCCGAGTACAGTTTCCCCATGTACGAAATTGCATTCAAAGACCTTGGGTTGCAGTTGCCCTTCAGCGACTTTCAGGCGGGGGTCTTCGCCCATTTGGGGCTGGCCCCGTCGCAGCTACACCCGAACTCGCTCGCCTTTATCCGGGCGTTTGAGCTGACCTGTCGTTTTCTGAGGATCGGGGCAACTATACCTCTCTTCTTCATAATCTTCCATCTGCAGCGCCAGTCCCGGGGAGGAAAGCACAGCTGGGTCTCCCTGAAACAGTCGAAGAGACTATTCAAGATGTACATGGACTCCGTGCGGGGTTTTAAAGACAAGTGGTATGTCGTGAGGCCGGTCACCACAGCCGCTTTAGAGTCCCTGTACGAGGAGGAAGCGCCGATAAGCGACGATGACGGGGAGGCACTTTTAGACAACGACGGGTATCCGGTGTTGGGACGCACGGCCAAGTTCCCCGTGCATTGGATTTCTAGGCATTACGAGCACGGAACTGGGTATTATCATACTTCTGCGGGCGATATGGGTTCCGAGGATGAGAAAGCTTATGACACTCTTTGTCGGTACGTTGATAGCTTCCACCCCGCCAGGTGGGCTACGAGGGAGGGGGAAGATGTCCTGGACGAGGAGGGTTATCCGACATTCGAGGCCCGACCGATCGATACTAAGGCACTCGTGGAGTGCCAGTCATTCGGGCAGGCTGCTCGTCTGCTAGTTCGTTTGTTGCTTGAATTTCTTTGCTTGTCATTCGTCCGCTTGTTTGCTCGACACTAACCCGGTTTTTTTTATTTTGTGCAGGTTCGATGGCTGGGCGACGGGAGAGACTCTTGAAGCTGTCTTGTGACCAGAAGCGGGGCAAGAGGGTGGTGAAGGCTCCCCAAGCAACAAGGATGGGCCCGCCGCATAGTCCGGGCGCTCCTCATGTGGTGAGGGTGGATTCGTCGCCTAGCTCGGGGGCTGCTTCGGAAGAGACCCCAGAGGTCCAGGAGGTCGAGCCACATGTCGACCTGATACCGAGAAAAAGGAACCGGGTGGAAGGTGGGCCGGCGGTCGGCGAGGATTCCAGCGCCGTAAGGTCCTTCGGGTTGCCCCCTTGCTTCAAAGAGGAGGGTTTCTTCGAGGGGTTCCCTTTGTCCGTGACTGCCGATGAGGCTGAGTTTATCAGGAGGATGAGTAAGGAGGACCGGAGGAGGCACCTGGCCGCCAATATGGCCGGGCTGGTGAAAATGGCCGAGATGGCCGTTGTGCTGACCGAGGAAGGGGAGGATCCTGTCCGCATTGAAGAATTAGAACAGGAGAAAGCGGCCCTCACCTCGAGTTCGCGGAAGTTAAGGACTTCCCTGGAACGCTCCGAGGAGATGTTCCGCGAGCAGGCATCACTGCTGGCTGCCGAGAGAGAGATGCTGACCCTGGAGAAGGAAAACTCAGGGAAGCTAGCCGAGGAGAGAGAGCTTCTCTGTGCGGATCGGGAGCGTCTGGAGACCGACATCGGGCGCCTAACCCAACAGATCGAGGACCTGAAAGTCACCATGCTTCCTGCCGAGGACGAGCCGGAGGATATAGTCGCTTTGAAGAGTCGATCGGAGCTGGTCGCCCACATCCGGCTCCTCGAAGCAGATTGCGTCGGCGCTATGGAGGAGGGGTTCGACTCCGCGGTCAGCCAGCTTTCCTTGCTGAATCCCGGTTTGATCACTGAAGGGACGGGCTACATGTCTCAGATCGTGGATGGCGCGATCGTGCCCCCGCCCGACTCTCCTGTTGTCGACAATGATGGTTCCGGGGAAACTGGATTGTAGGATGATGGGCCTGCGTGCCTTATTGATATTTGTTTGGGGCCTGCGTGCCTGTTCGTATTTTTTGGGCCTGCGTGCCCGTTGGTTGTACTTCCTGAACATCGCCGGCCTTCTTGGTCGGTTTATTTTTATTTGCTTTGTTGCCTACGGGCGTATTGAATGAATTTATTTCTATGACTGTTTGCCCGTGTATGAAACTCATGTATTTTGCGATATAATTGGCCCGAGTTATGTGCCCGGGTCGTGCCCGTGTATGTGCTCGGCCTTTTCTTGCTGGCCAGAGTCACCTAAGTGGTGCACTCGAGGGGAGAGACTCTTTTTCGACCCTTTTAGATGGCCCGTCATTCTTGAAGATTTGTCGGGCAGATGGAGCAGAGTCGCTCAGTC